AATCGGAATAGGCTGGAGTCATTCGAGTCACAGCGAGCAAAGATGAGATTGTTTTATTCAATTAATAAATAGAGGAAAAATTGGCTTTATATTGTTATCTTGGCTTACATTTGTTCAGCACAATTTCAATTTCAGTGAAAGTGTGTCTCACGAAGAGATTCTAATTTCAATCCAACCAGAAGATTGTGACGCATTTCACTTTATTAACTATCGGTTCGCGTTACTGCCACATTATTGTTGGGGAGACTTTTATTTCGTGTCATGACTCTACATTTCTAAGTGAAAGTTGGCAGAAAAGCAATTTAAGATGTGGTCTCACTGAAAACCGAAGAAGAATTGTCGCATAAAGAAGACTGTTTAATTGTACCAAAACGTCCTCGGCTCACCGCCCTGCGACCTCGATGAAACTGTGCTAAGCTTTCGTCTGTACCGCCGTAACAGACATCATCAGAGCAAGATTTCATACTTCACGAAATAGAGCAAAAATGTACTAAACCAAGAGAAGAAGGTGGCCGGCTGCAACCCTAATCGCGATCTTAATGGTTGGCTGCTTCAACCTTCCTCTACATGCTCGCAAATGAGTGAATTTAACTTCCCGAATATATAAAGACCAAGATGTATGGTCGCAGTCTTCTTTAGATTTATAGAAGAGGGTTGATCTCGTTGTCAGGGCGACTTAGTAAAATGCAAATTGTCCTAAGTTGTCTGCCATCGTAGTCGTCATGATTCCCAGCATCAGACAGTGGACTTGGTACATTCTCAAACTTTTCGCCGGCATCATCAGTGAGTGATGCCATTCGTCGCACCAAGTTCTGTGACCTTAAGAGACCCTACCACTCGGAAAAGGTAAATGAATATGTCCACCAGGCTTCTATACATAAAGTAAGTGAGGCATATGAAACTGAACGTAAAAGTTGTTTAAGTTTGTAGATATTAAGTCAAAGCTCCGGAGTGATTTGGCCAGGATCCTGTCTCCAGAATATATTTTCAAAAACTCCAGAGTATGGTAGGCAGGAAATCATGTAGGATTTCTGACTTAATAACAAAACGACATAACGATAAATTGCGAAAGTTTGGGGATTTAAGACAGCCTAAGTTAATATCTATAAACTTAAACAACCTATAAAAGTTGTTTGACCTTGTTTTCCCAATTTGGTCATGTTGGTAGGAAGACTTAGAGGAACGCACCTGGTCCGGAGTCCATTGTATGCATCAACATTTCCACAGACGGACCGTTGACGTGGTATATTCTCAGACGTTTCGCCGGCATCGTCAATGAGTCTCGCCATTCGTAGCACCATATTACAACTTGTCTCTTTGTAACTTGTGTCTTTGTGAGTTGTCTCTTTGACGAGTTGTTGTGTGGTGCTACGAATGACAAAACTCACTGATGATGCCGGCGAAACGTTTGGGAATGTACCACGTTCACGATCCTACTCTGGACATGATGATACATACAATGGACTCCGGATTAGGTGCTTTCCTCTAAGTCTTCCTACCAAAATGACCAATTTGCGAAAACAAGGTCAAACAACTTCTGTATAGAGTCTGATTGACTTTGTATTCGCAGTCTGTCTCGGTCCGTTAAGCAGTCCAAAGTCGACATTACAAACTTTGCAAAGATGAATCGTGGACGTGGTACATTTGGAAATGATGATGCAGACAATGGACTCCTGACTAGTTGCATTCCTCTAAGTCGTCCTACCAAAATGACCAATTTGT